CTGGCTTTATCTAAAAATTCTTAGATGTTATTAAAAGGTCACATGGACTGCAAAACTGTATGCAGGTATGACTGTTTGAGGAGAAGCATATCCAGATGTGTGCTAGTATGCATGCGTGCAGAGGCCTAATGGCCCACAGTGACTTTTCTCTGATCACAAAACACACACACACACCAGAGCAAAAGAACACACAAATGTTCCTTCAAAAGAAACTCCTCAGGCCTGCTCACAGGAAGACTCTGTTACAGCGTGTGCATCGATAAAAATGGTCCCCGCGTCTGCCCTGCAGCTCCTGATAGCCATCTCCTCCACTCATTGGGTTCCCACTTGGGCTGCACAGGCCCAACTGTATAACTTGCCCCCAGTGAAACAACATAATGGAGTTAAGGACCCTTTTTATGCTCCAGATAAAGCAAATTTATCCTTACTTAATGCCAGATTTCCCATTTTGCTGGTGGACACAGACAAATTAGCACACTGTGTTTTTAAATGTGTTCAGCAATGGCAAAATAGTGTTTGCATGTCTGAGGGAGACAGCAGGTTTAATCATTTCACAATGAAGAACAACAGGAATGGGAGTCTGGTTTGTGGGTCTCAAACATTGCACCAGAAATTAAATTAATCTCTATAAAATCTAATGTTTGATTTACCTGTTAATTTTTTTTGTTTGTTTGCTTAATCATTTAGTTGGAAATATAAGAACATAGTTAAACTGTCTGTTAATATTTCCCAGGGTGACAAAAATAATTTTTGATTAATTTTGTCAGTTGGCTAATCAGTTGATAGAGTAATAGTTAACCAGGGGAGTTGTACAGACTGATGACCACTGTGAGGAAGGTGATTCCCTGGTCTTCAGTGGTGTTATCAGTCAGTTGCCAAAGGTACTCCTGTGTTCATCCAGAAAGCAATAGAGTGTGTGGAAAATGAGTGTCCATCCTTGATGCGCCGTGGCTTTAGCATTAATGTGATCATTACAAATTTCTGAAGCATCATTAACATTCCACCTCTGTCCTTGAAAAAAAAAGCATAAATTATGTTGTTTTTAATTGTAGTTGATGCATGTCACACAGTTACCAGTAGCCTTAACATTTTCAGAATACCATGATGTAACTTTGTGGCATCAGTTATGTAGCATTGCACCTGCCATATACAGATGTAATACTATGATGTCTTGTTACCTTGGTAATGGAACTAGGAGCCTGTTTTTCCCTGGGCAGTTTCAGCAATCTTACCATGACATTATAATATAGATGAATGTTGTATTACACTGCATTAGTTTTATTGAGATGTACATAATAAACTGCCACCTGATTGTATGTTGTTTCAGTGGCTTTAATCGGCCTCTGGGTCAGCCTTGATCCCCACTTGACCTAGAAACCTCAGTAAATGAAACTCCTTTGAACAGGCAGCACACGTTTACAGTGTGATATTGGGCCCAAAATCCTCACAGTTCAGTATAAATGCTGGAGTAAGACAGTTGTCTGTAGTTAGCATATTTTTCTCAAGATTGTACTGCCATCATGTGAGGGTTTGGCTTGGTTGGAGCTTCTTCAGCTCAGGTTTGATGATCCTTTATCTAGTTTGTCTAATCTGCTAGTGCTGAGTATGGGAACCACTTGAAATAAAGCTTCTCCCGACACGCTGAGTTTACATAGTGAGGTCTGAGCCTGTTGATAGTGTCTCTCATTATAAATAACAAACAGCCTCAAGGAAGTAACACTAGCTACAGTCGCTCACCACACTCACACATGCAGCACGGTACATGCGAGTGGTGCAGTGGTCCTTCTCAGGGCGAGGGATAAACACCCTGTCGTGTGGCGCCCAATCTGTTTATGATTTAGCCGCTGACTGGCTGGGGTCATGGAGGTTGCGTGTGTGTGTAGTTGTGTGTGTTAGTGTCTGAGAATGTTAGGAAACGTGATAGAGGGATCACAGGTGAGCTGGTCACCACTTTCATGAGAATAAAGCACACAAACGTTAGACAAGCTCAACATTTAGAGTTTTTAATTGGTGAAATAAGTCTTATCTATCTGTCTAACATACTGTTTCCTTTGTCCTCTTTTCCCTTTTTATCTCCTTCTTCTATCTGGCACATTTGTCTTTTTTTGCTCACCTGTCATGCTCCACCTTTTCCCAGAATGACACATGTTAGACTCCTCAGAGGGCTAGCAGAGGTTGTACCAACCCTCCTCGCAGCTCTAAGCCCTGGCTACTGATGTTGCAGCTGTTCACTGGACCCAACTACTGGCAGGTTGCAACGCTCTTCTGGCGACCATAGAACAGTCCATGAGCCCTGTGATACATGCATCTGAGCTTACCCACTGGGATGTTTCACAAGAGGCCAGCTGGGAAGTCAGTGGGAGCCAAGGGGAAGGTGAGGGGGCTGAGTGAGAGGGTAGACAAGAGAAGCAGAGGAGAAAAAGATGATATGGGTAACACATGAACAAAAGATTAAAGAACTGAAGGTTCTGGCTCGTGTGTGAGAAAGTGGGAAAGAGAGTTATAGAGAAAGTTGGTGGAACAGTGTGGGTACATTCTAAGAAGGATGGGATGCACACAGACTCACACTTTGCTTCCCTTTGTTCTCATAAATTGGTAAATGCAGTCAACATTGGAAATTAAATGTAAATGCACAGTAATTAATGCAATAATACTAGTACTTGCTATGAGTGAGTTTAACAAATGACTGTATATCATATTGAATATTAAACCTTTTACCTATTAAACTACATCACATTTCTAGCAATTGTTTCTAGAACAATCCTTTTACCTATACAGTATATAGCTACTTATTTTCAGTGTACTTGCAATTAAGAAAGCATTATTTAGAGTGCCGTTATTCTCTCAGGAGAAGCAGAACAAAAGGAAGATATTTTTTGGGGTGACATTACCAAAATGCTACTATCCATTAATGAAATAGACATTTAGTGTATTCCAAAAAAATTCACTGGCTAGAAGAAAATTTATTCCTCAAGTAAAATCATATAATAGCTGTCTTCCACTATTCTGTTCTCACTGGATTGAATAATAGAAAATTTTTGGTCATACTGACTTTAATTAGAGCTTTATGAACTTTTTTAACTCCTGGACACATGCAAACCCTTCCGTGGGATTCACTAGTGTATACCTAAATCTAAAACATGCAAGGTTCTCTTGTTATCCAGTGGAGCAATCTCATTTGTGTAGCAAGTTTATTACCTTGTCTCATCCTCATCCTCATCAAGGGTCAAACAGGCCCTATGTATGTGGAGAGATTGCATCTAAGATGACCTTCTTCCTCTCTGTTTGTCTGTTTGTCTCACACACACACGCGTTAGCTGGCCAGTGTGGTATTCCTCTGTTAGACCTAATGGCTTCTAGTGTTCAAAAGATACAGTCCTAACTCATCCTGACAGGACAGATTAACACATAGGACTTAAACATGAGTGGTATAAGCCAAAGGTCAACACACAGGCAGACCTGAAAACTGTGTGTGTGGGTGTGTGCATGGTGGTGGTGGTTGAGAGTCAAAGCTCTACAAAGTTTTGCAACTTAACAATTGACATACTATAGGCTATTTTTTCCATTAATCTTCACTTGACAAGCCTAAATTAAAGCTTGAAGCCCAAAATTGATTAAGCATCAAGTGAAATCACAACATTTTAAAACATTTTATATGTTTAGTTGTTTTAGAGTATTGGGGTTACAATGTGTGATTAAAAAATAGACCTAGTTTTTACATGTGTTGAATAAACTTTTCTGAAAAGAAGCTTCAACATGTACAGCCCATTTTGCTGTCATTACAGGATCTTTTATTTCCACCTACTGGAAGATGAGGGCAATAGCTTGCAGACAGAAGCTCTAGTTGTGCAAAGGTTTGCACAGCTCTACAAAAACTATCAAACAAAGAAAAAAACAATATATTTTTCTTTTTAAGTGAAAAGAAGTAACTACAACCCCAGTCACATTTCTCTAAAAAAAACCTCCAAATGCACTGTTACTTTTTATTTAATGAACAAATAAATAATCAGTCATTGTGGCATGTGTAAAATAGTAGTAACCCCCCCAACTGGCAGATATCACACTTTGCAACTGATTTGTGTAGCTAACTAATATTCTTCATTTAGTAATCTTCACCCACTCTTCTTTGCAAACCACTTTAGGTTCTTGTATTATATTAGGCTGCCTCACACACAGGTATATTTACAGATTTTCAGTGATGTTTAAAATTTAGTCAGAGGACTGTGACAGTCATAGCTCAATCATCAGCTTGTGTAGATGTTGAAGTAAGCCTTCAGTTTCTTAATGGTGTGGAATGTACATTTACGTAGATCTAAAATAAATTATGTGAGTTCACACTCCATTACAGCAGGTGGTATATTTAACGTGGCCTGCATATAAACCACCAATAAATGTGAAGAAGAAGGAGAAAACAAAGGCAAAGAAGATGAAACAGAAGAAGAAGAAATTCAGGCAGCGGAATAGACATCTTAAGTGAAATACTAGGGCAAACTAACTATATCATTTTTATGGGTTCCAGTGCATACTGAGATTAAAGAGAAATGAAACAGCAAACAATGTTGCAAAGGAAGCCAAAACAAATAATGATATTGACATTGCAGTTAACTTTAGTAGGGCAGAAGTCAAGAGCAGGCTAAAGGAGAAGTGGGAGAAGCAATGGGAGGAAGAAAGGATTAGATGATTAATCCTTTTAGATTAGATGAGATTAGATGTTACAAGAACAAACAGAAGAGAAGAGACAATAGTATTAAGATTGAGATTTGGACATACTGGACTTAATGGCACACTATTCCAAATTATGATAACAGATTGTCTATCTTGCAAAAAAAAATCAGGAAATGAATGTTAACAGTTGTTGTTTTAGTACTTTTGAACAAGTAAGATAACAGAGAATATGTTTTTTTCTTGATCCACACTCCTCACCGATTGGAGGCTGTAATGCACCAGGTCGTTGTTTGCCATCCGCCAATAAACCGCAGAAGAAGAACAGGAAGGAGCAGCAGCAGAAGAAGAAGAAGAAGCAGGCGAAGGCCAACGCCTACCTCACGGAACTGATAGCTTGTTTGCTTTCCGACACCTCGAGTTTCTTCATTTCGGATTGTTGTTATGAGCTAGTTGTTACGTAATATTGTAGGCTATTTGTATATGAGGTAAGATAGATGCCTTTCATTTAATCGTAGCACTTAACAAAGGCTTGTGCTATATAGAATACTGAAATTCAGGTACTTTGGCTTAGTACGATAGCTATCTGGTAGCTTGTTATTATTAAACGATGATTCATCAGATTGACGTGAAGTATGCTAATGCAAAAATAATGTTAATATAGTGATAATGTTAGTTATTGAATCGACTAATCATTGCAGCTAATACCAAGTTCTACGTTTATCTGTTCATTTTCAGTATCTCACTTTGCTTCTATTCAAAGATTTGGCTATAATTGTTTTATAGCCCAACTTTATTTAGATATTTTACTATTGTTGTGAAACGTGCCTTTATTAGATAAGTTTACATGCCCGAGCATAGCTTTTGTAGCTTATCATTAGCTATTTTAAATGTGCACCCAGTTGCTAGTTTATTTGGTGCACCTAGCTAGCACTAATCCAGTCTAATACAACTGCGTTAACGTTTTCTCCTCGCTTCATGAAGGTGATAGTGTTGAGTTTTTGCTGTAATTATTTTAGAGAAGTGTCGTTTGTGGTACAGTTGAACTGTACGAAATTATGCATAAACACTTGTGGTGGAGCCATAGGGTTAGGCAGCTCTGATGTTTATAATTACTTTATCATGCCACTTCACAAAAACCTAACATTTCTTGACGTGTATTAAATTAGATATCTGAACATAAGTTATGATCCTGTTTTAATATTTTCATATTTTGTCAACCCAGTGATGGATCCAGTTCATCCCATGGAAACACTGCATGGCAATGGTGATCATGATGGTATTGATGTCATGTCCTGGGTGTCAGTGTGTCCAGAAGGCCTCTGGAAAGTCCAGAAAAAAGGGATATGCAAAGAGAGTCAACAAACTGTTTGTAATTTGGGAGGTATTAAATGTATGGTACTTTTCTAACATTACTTTAAAAATGATCATTTTTCAGTCCACATTTTAGAATAGAAATGTATTTTCTAATAATCTATCTCACATAATTTGTCTCTTCTAGCAGCGGGTTGCTGTCCAAGGTTAGGATCGCTGTGTCGAATCCGTGTGCAGCTCCACAGTAACATGGTTGATACTCAGAGTTCAGTAACTGATAAGAGAAATGAGAAGCTGTCAGACCAAGCTGACCAGTCAGTCAGTGAATTCGCAGAAACAGTGGAAACAGCTTTCTCAAGGTGTCGGGACTCTGTGCTGCAGGTCTCATTGGGTGACTGGACAACGCTGAGACTAGGGGAGGGGCAGTGTGATATCACAGAAGCATGTTTGGAGGGAATGAGAGCCAAAGAAAAATGTGAGGTGAGAGCAATGTGATCATAATGTGTTAGGTTTTTACTAACTTCTATGCAAATTGTGTCCAAAATTGACAAAATTGCTGTGTTTTTATCTTGCACAATGTAAATCCAGTGATGTATCAGTTCACCTCTTAGAAACCAGAAACCAACTGAATTATTACCCTTTCCTACTTTTTTGCACTTAATATTGTCAGTAACCTATGTTGTTTTAATATCGAGGGAGTCTAAATGGTGGTCACGCTCTGTAGCAGAATAAAACCTTGCTTGTTATGATTTGATCATTTGGCAGTGAGCAGCAATCTGAAAAGACACCTCTAGTGAGTAGAGAGCCAAAAAGAAGTGTGATATAGAAAATAAGCACTTTCCGAGTCCTGATTCGGTATCAATCTGCCTGTGCTTCCTCACAAAAGGTTAAGTGGGTAATAGCTATTTCTGTATAGATACTCAGGTTCTATCTTTTGTTTTTACATTTATTTTGAATGTATTATTGCATTTTAATAAAACTACTAAACCAAACCAACTTAGAACCTGGAGCAGGTCTTTATTAGTCAGAAAATGTGCTGTTAAAAGCCTCCAGCAAACGCCTTTCAAACAATATTGTTCTGTATTAACATTAGGAGCACAACCCACTTTGGACTAATTCCTGCAGCACTGATGAGCAACCTCTGGACAGTGTTTGGTTTTATGCCACTATTAAAAACCAAGTTGTTGCAGACTTTACACACTAAAAAGAGTCTAGAATTATTTGGAGTAATTTATCTATAACCAAATTGAATATTCATCTTTCTTCATATCCCTTATATTTTTGCCAGTATGAATATGAAATAGGTCTTAAATTGCATTCAAAGTGGTCTACAGAATTTTTAAAAAAAGGCTTAAATTTAACTTCATGAAACCAGCAGAAAACCCACTTTTCAAAGAATGTAAAAATTAAAGCAGGTCTAATTGCTGTGTATTCCTCCTCAGATACTACTTTCTCCAGTGGGAGATATACCAGATGTCTTTGTTCCAAGACCTGCAGAACAAAACCTGCCTTTATGTGCCACAATTGAACTCCAAGCTTTCACGCCAGGCAAGGAACCATGGGAGATGTCTCCTGGTGAGAAATGGGAGTGGGTGAAGTCACACAAGGAGAGGGGTGGCATGAGATTTCGCAGTGGAAATGTGTGGGGAGCTGCAGATAGCTACAGCCGAGCCCTCAAACTCCTCATCACTCTCTCTGGACATGTTAGAGAGGAGGAGGACACAGGACAGGAGCAAGATGAGGAGGAGCAGAGAGAGACAAACACTGGAGATGAAACACGTTGCCTCCTTTCAGCTAGTGAATTCAGAACCATCAAAGCAGAGCTCCACTCAAACCTATCCTTGTGCCAGCTCAAACTGAACCAACCAGAGCGAGCTAAGGCCAGTGCAGCTAAAGCTACTCAGCTAGAACCAGGTGGCACTAAAGCCTGGTACCGGCTGGGCCAGGCCTGCAAGATGGTGAATGAGCTGGAGGATGCAAAGCGGGCATTTAGGAAACTCCTGGAACTACAACCAGACGCACCTGCGGCATTGAAAGAGCTTAAAGACATAGCTAGTAGAGAGAAAGAGTCAAATGTGCAGTTGGGACTGAGACTTAGCAAAATGTTCAGCTGAGATTATATAGTATGTTGTCAGTCATCAGCAAAAAGATGTGGTTATCTTTAGGATTTACCATTAACTGAAAATGTGTCTACTGTAAAGTCACTGCCTCAGCTCAAAAGTGCAATTGATCTGCAGATGCATGTTTTTCTCCCACCTATATACTACTGATGTGCGAGTTATCAAAATGCAATTTCAAAGTAAAAACAGTGTCAAAATGTATCTTGGAGCAGTTCCTGTTGTCATCTGGGCATGTGTAGTGCATGAGATCATGGTGTTATTGAGTGGTGTAATGTACGTAACTACATTTAGTCAAGTACAAATTTCAGGTACTTGTGCCATTTTATACTTAACGGCATTTCACAAGAACATATTGTTTTTTACTCTACTACAATAACTCACTTGCTTTATAGATTAAGATTTTGCAAAACATTAAAGATAAATCAATTAGTCAACAAGTTAACTGACAACTGTTTTATAATTGGTTAAGTAATTTTTCATGTGAAACTTTATTCTAGCTTCTCAAATGTAAGGATTCCCTGTGTTTTAAACACTAAAGGTGTTACTTGGGCTCTGGATAATTGTGTTAGGCATTTCTCAGTGTGTTCAAACTTCACTAATTGCAGCCATAAATATAATAATTAACATTTTGCTCCCTCTCAACCAATTACAGCAGAAAAATGCTGCTTACACATCAGCACTTGCATATAAAAAATGTATTATTATCATACATAATAGTCTCCTGGGACATTTTCCTGGAGTACAGAGTACTTTTAATGCTTTAAGAACATTTTCCTGATTATACTTCGGTAATGTTTGCAGTGCAGGGCTTCTATGTATAGTGAAGTACTTTTAACCGATTTGAATACTTACTCCATCACACGTGGTACTGAGTGCAATACGTGCAAAGCCTACAGAAGTCGACAAAATACACATATTGTAGTTGTCGACCACAAGGTGCCAGTCTCTGTCAGGCAGTTGGTTATCTGGTACCCAGTTGTGCAGTGGATCAAAATGCCAAAACCCAGGATCGAACCAGGGACCTTTAGATCTTCAGTCTAACACTCTCCCAACTTCGCCAGGAGTAGCTGCTAAGGGTCTGTACAAATTCAACCAACCACAAATCTAGGTCCATCTTTCAAAAGCCAATCACATGACAGAGTCCATCTTTCCATGGCCAATCAAATGGCCAAATCCATCTTTCTACTACCAATCATGCAACGCTAACGCTGTCCACTGGGCGTCTTTTTTGTAAAGTGCTGTGAAGATATTGTGGAGCATAAAATATAATTCCCTGACCTGTTTTTAAGATATTTATGACAGTAAAAACCGATTTTTGCAGAAGCTTTGAATATTATTATTAATTATAAACACATGTGCGCCATGTGTAAAAAAGCTTATTGTGGTGTAGTAGAACATGTTCAGCAACAGCATTACAATGTTACACTTTGTAGTAAATGGTGCAAAAATACATAACCAGTTTTATGGAATCTTAGCCTGATGTGGACTGAACATACTGAGCTAGTTGAAGGCAAAGTAAGACTTTCATTGAACTGGGAAACACCTTTCCTAACTGTGCATATGGCAAATAAACACTTTGACCTTGACCTAGTTGGATTTCATAAAGGGAGCCAGCCAATTTTTGATGTATAATAATTGTTGTCATGTAAACAACAAAAACTAATACTTCAGCCCCATATTTGAATATGGGTTCCATTTAAAGAGGTACTCCATATCACCTAAGGCTGTTTTTAGTCTAATCTTGAGGTTGCACAAAATCTAAATGAAATAAGGCAGATATTGAGAAAACATTATTTATTTATTTATTTTAATTCTCTTCTGGGGCGACACAAAGTCAGGACAACATTCAAGGAACATTCTGCACTTCAAAATGATTCGTATACATTTTTAAAGGGCACAAATTACAACAGGTACAACATGGCAAAACTTACATGAGGCATGCCCAACAAACTAGTAAACATTTGTTTTGCCATATCTTCTTTTCATTAATACCGGGTCTTTTTGCGTGTTTTCCCCATAATCAGTGTCCTGCGGTCTTTTCTGAATGTTGCGCTTCAGTTTCTCTTGGACTTGTGTGTCTGTGTGTTGTCTGTGTGTGTCTGGGCTGCTGACAGCTGTTTCCACGCGTCCACAATGAGCACCAGTGGAATGGCAAACCACAGGATATTAATGAACACGAAGTAGAACCAGAAGTAGATTGGATGTCCCAGATCACTGTGAATGTAGCTATCTCTGTGCTCTGTGAAGAAGTAAAGCAGCGTTCCATACAGCTGACCTGGAATCAGAGTATGTGTTAAGGAGCATTCAGTGAATTCTGAGAACTTGTAAGAGGCAGACCCAACTTCCCTACAGGACTGTAGGCCTATTGAAGGTAATATGCATAAAGGTAATAAACTCACTGCTTCCCTCTAAAGTCAAGACATACAAATGACTTTACTAATGACTTTATCTGCTAGTTTAAAGATGATCTTTCATACTAATTTCCCTTCAAATTACAGATTAAGAGAATCATGAAGTGACTGATTTTGTTTTCTTTACCTAATGAAATGATGAGTTGCAGAACAAATCTGTAGGCCTTGTCAGTTAAGAAGGCAAACACAGCCCAAAAGCTGAACGGCCCCCATAACCAAAAAGTCACGGCCTCCAAACAGACAGTGAAGTTATCAGCTCTACACAGAAAAGAAATACGCTGGGTAAATGTAGTTACAGTATTATTACCTTTTTATGTAAAAGTTCAACAATTATGTGCCAGAGTGAACTCACATTATATATCGACTGTCCGCTTTTGAGTACTCCTTCCCTGTGGAAGAGA